ATAAAGAGAGAAACTAAGAACAGAACAGGAAGGAAGAGCATGAGGAAAAGACTAACAGTAAACAAAGACGAATGGGGGGAGAGAAAGGGAGAGAGAAGGGAAAGCATATGGAAATGGTAGGAGACCTTCAGTGATACACAAAATTACAAGAGGTTATGAGGGGCAAGGGGGAGGGAAAAAAAAGGGAGAGAATTGAACAACAGCAGAGGAGGTAGAGAGGGAAGATGGGAGGGGAGGGGAGGGGAGGGGGGAGAGTAGGGGATAGGAAAGGCAGCAGAATACAACAGTCACTAATATGCCATTATGTAAAAACGTGAGTGTGTAACAGATGTGATTCTGCAATCTGTATTGGGGGTAGAAATGGGAGTTCAAAACCCAATTGAGTCAACTGTATGAAAGATGATATATCATGAGCTCTGTAATGTTTTGAACAATCAATAAAAAAAAAAAAAAAAACTGTGTGTCCTAGGGATCCCCACCCAGGTCACATTTCCGTGAACTTCACTAAGGAGGATCTTGGCGCTGGTGTTCACGGAATGGAGATTCTGGCTACCAAAGGCTCCATTGGGTAGCTTACAGTCCCATGACACCCTACAGAAATCATTCCTCAAACTGTGATCCCAGGTGGCTGTCCCCCGCCTTCCTCTGCTGGCGGCTGCGAAAGGCCCCTCAGCACACAGACAGGGCTTCCTTTTGTGCTCTGCAGGTTTGTTTTTGTAGAAAGTCCCGGACACGGTCACGCTTCCTGTAAGGATCGGGTTTGGTAAAACATCCTCACGCTCAGGTTTCATGGAAGACGAAAGAACGCAGTGGCACCTCCGAGAAGGAAAGCGACTTTCCTTTGAATTTCCTCCGGTCGCCTTCTGCGAAGCGCTTTGCTTTTCTCCGACTTGGAATAACAGCAGTACTTGGAATCGTAAGCTCAGAGGCCACGCGTTTCCTAGCTCAGAGGCAGCAGCTCTGACTTCTTCCTCCGGGGAATGGGTACGCCACAACCTGTGGTGGCCATTCCCTTAAAGTCTAAAAGTGGGTTCACTTTTTATCTACCTCAGTGTTTTTGAGGAGTGACATTAGATCTCCTAAGAGGGTGGGAAGGCATAAGGTACCAGAAGAGATTCAGCCTCAAACCAAAATAAAATTGGAGTTGAGGGCTGACTGTGTGGTGGTCTGAAGCCAGGGGAACTGGGGGATGGATTTCTGGGTGGAGTCTTCTGTGATTTCGTCCTCCTGGTGCTGATGAGGAATCTGAAGCCCTTGGCCTGGTGCTGAAGTGGGGCCGGGAGTGAGCTCCTGTGTGTGTGGGGGCAACTGAGGGTCAGTCTCCAGGGTGGGGCCCAGGGAAGGCCCCCTGGGGAGGCAGGTGCAGGAGGCCCAGGTGGGCTGCCGCTCACTTCTGCTAAGGGAGCCAGCTGGGGGGCAGGGGGTGTTCCCAGAGCGTCCCCTTCCTCTGCCAGGAGTTTTAGGAGTAACCACGACCTTCCAGGAAAAGGATGTGAATGTGTGTCTGCCCCAGAAGTGACCATGCCTAGAATTATGTGAACTCTCTCCACAGGTTTGTCAGTTCAATGCGAGGGTCTTCTGAATTGCCTAGGCCACTGGACATTTAGGGTGTTCCAAGAAGTCCATACAAGACATAGGACAGAAATCACTAAATGTAGGACATGTCCTCCGTGTCTAGTGCCTGGAATTCCTGAATCTGGTTGTCACATTCTCATCCTTAGGAGACGGCTTTTACCTGTCATTACAGCACCCTTGGCTTTTACACTCCTGTGTCAATTATGTCCCCTGACCTCGCAGCTTATTTTCATGATCATATTAGGAATTAACTATTAAATCTAACCGACAGTTTTCTCTTGGTCTTCTGTTTTTACACACCACCCATGTACCAATTGAAAAATGGAAATTCCTGCCATCATTTTTGAGTCTCTAAATGTCCACAATTTCTCTTTTGGACTTTTTTCTTGACCCATCAAAGTATCTGACCGGGTAGAATGGACAGAGAACGTGAAGGAAGCCAACACGCACAGGTCCAGTGGAGGGAGACAGGCTGGGACCTGAGAGCCACAGCACAGAGGTGGCCTGCAGTGACTGGAACTTTATTTTTGCCCTACATTTTCTTTTCCATTAAGAATCTAGTGGCAAACCTTTGGAAAAGAGTTGAACATGACCCATTAGTGCTGGGGAGACTGGGAATTGCTTCTCCTGGAAGCCAGAAGAATGTGGTGGTGGTTTATTGGAATGTGAGATGGAACAACTGATTCCCCACCCCACACACACAGAGTTGTTTCCCCTGTTAGAAAATCTAGGTGATTGACCCTTAGTTTCTTACACTTTTTTCACTCCTGTCCTGACTTTGAAGACAAAGATTCTGTTTCAGATTCCCTTACAGAATAAACAACAATAAAAAATAGAGATATTAACCAATAATAATGCCCCAAGAAATTAAGGAGCTCTTTTATTTTCCAAATCCCATGACATTTCAATCCCATCATTGCATTGTGGATTCCGACTCTGGAGACCCCAGGGCTGCTCAGAAGTCGTGTTCATTCTGAGAGCAAAAAAGCACTCCCAGGTCCAGCGACTGGCTGCCAGTCCCTCTGACGGAAGACACTGAAGTTCACAAAAGGTCAAAGGCGTGAAGTTGGCCACTGAGAAGTGAAATGCTGAGCTCTCGACCCTGAAGTGCCAGTTCTCCGGGAGGAGGAAAGCCAAGTGCACCTTAGACCTATCCAGGGTCAGGAAACGGCATGCTGGATTCCAAGTAGACCCTGCCCAGGGCCAGGAAACAAAGACTCGAAATGCTGGCAACTTTCATTAAAAAAAATCACATCATGGCAAGTTCCAACAGAGTAACTTCCATTTAAAACAGTCATTTCAACGCTTTAACAGGCAAAGGAAAGTCTAGCAAGACCCAAAGCCATGACTGGCTCCCGGGCCACGGTCAAACCCCGTAACACCACACAGAACAAGCCCAGCAGGATCCTGCTCTGAGCATCTACCCCAAAGGCTTTCTCTTCTCTTTCTTTCCTTCCTTTTTCTCTCATCTTCAGACGTGACAGGTGCACTGAGGATCCAAGCAAGGGAGAATCATCTTAGAGCAGAAGGGCCACTTTAAAATGTACGTGATTTCACATTTCAACAATGTTAAAATCACAGTCTGTTGAAATTAGGAATTTAATTCAAATAAAAATCAAACAAAATAAGTCTTTAAATTTATCTAGATATTTGTTCCACTAATTAATGGTTATGTTTCCCCATTAGCTAGTTATCTAAGGTTTCTGGAAACTCTAACTGTGTGGAACAGGGACCCCGTGTGCCTCCCCAGGCCCGGCAGTGGCTCACTGGGAGATCCGTAAGCTGACTCTGGCTGCGTTCTCTGGGGCAGCTGGCTGAAGGTGCCATGTTAGTGCCGTCTGTTTTGTTCCTGGAAGAAGACTTGGGTCTCGTGGATACTACTGCTGTTGACTTTGCAGGTTCCCAGATGGAGCACAGCGTTTTCAAATGGGCTCACCAACAAGGCCTAATGCCATGTTTCACAAGGCAAGAGGTTGGTTGGGTCAAATCTAACCCAGCAGATGTGACTCCTTAGTTGGATATTTAGCAGGAATCTGTTTCAATCCGTGGACTGTCCAGGGTATCATCAAACAAACGGCTACCTGAACTCCTTGTTAGCATATTAACAGTATGAAGTAATAATACTCAGGTGTGTCTGGAAAACAACAGGTTCCAAGTGAGACACAACTTTAGAACTACTTATTGAGTATCATATTGTGATTTGTTGACTTACCACATGTAGTTTGGTATGTAGTGCAAAAGATCAGGTTATCAAGTCTTCCAAATCTGGCTAATAGGATATGCCAAGTGAACATACAAAAGTTCTCTGAGTCCTATGCTTATGTATATGTACCACATACAATATAGATAAGCTAGCATCCTAATTTTGATCACATTCAGAATAGTGTTGATGTAAATACTGCAGAAAGAATTTAATAGTGCAACAAAAAAATCTGTAAACGTGCCTTTGGCATTATTTCCCTGTTGATTATACCACTATATACAATAAAGATAAATGAATACGATCTCTAAAAGGGCTAACGTCTAACTACAGTAACATGTACTATTTTTTAAAAGAATGGAGGTCTAAAGCATACTGCCGTGAAATTATTAACAGAAAAAGAAAGAAGGAGGGGAAAAAAAACCTCCTGAATAATTAAAGACAAAATCCTCCTCTCATTTGGGTTGAGATTTTTCTTCAAATCTTTGCAAACTTTGCCTGTGTTACTCTCACACTTGCATTAGGTTAGTTCAGTCCCAGGCTGGAGACATTATTTACACGTTTGTGTTTTAGCAAAGACACTTGCAAATGCAGTAACAAGAAGCCATGAGGAGGTGTGCTGCAATGCAGGTCACCACTTCACGGACCGTCCGAGGCTAGCTTGCTGTCCCAGGTTCTGTGAGTCCCAAGGTTGATACTCTCACAGGATGAAGCACACGTGAGCATGATGGTGGAGAACTGGGTCTCAATGGCCAATGTCTTTCGTGGGTGACTCCATGAGCCTGCCTGAAGAGCCAGCTAGGCTTACGTGTGTGCGCATGTGTGCACGTGCGTGGGGGCTCCCGTGGGTGTATGCACTGTTCTCAAATTCTTAGTTGTGTTCTGCTTGAATGAATATGCAATCCTGTCTTGGTTTGAATAAAATGAGCATTCACCTTTTGCACATTTACTCAATCCTGGACCATTTACTCTCTTCCCCAAAGAAATGCAGGGCACTGGGCTCCTAAATTTTTCCAGAGGCAAAATGTTACCTCTGTAACACTGAGCTGTATGAGATGTATTTAAACACTGAGTTTTTTTTTTAACATGTTATGAGATTATCAAATTTTGTTCCTGCATCAAGAGGTTTTATTTGGGGGGGCGGGCGGGTACCAGGGATTGAACTAAGGAGCACTTGACCACTGAGCCACATCCCCAGCCATTCTTTGTATTTTATTTAGAGACAGGGTCTCACTGAGTTGCTTAGGGCCTCACTAAGTTGTTGAGGCTGGCTTTGAGCTTTCGATCCTCCTGCCTCAGTCTCCCAAGCTGCTTGGATTATAGGCATGCACCACCGTGTCTGGCTCAAGAGGTCCTCCTGCTTATGAATTGCTTGCCCTCATCTCCTCTCTCACAGCCCACCCAAGTGCATAAACTACCACCTCTGAGCGAACGTTGTGTATTGCCATAAGACTTATATTTTCTTTATGGTGACCGTGATCATCCAGCTGTGTTCTGAGCTTGAGGAGACAGCCACGAGTCTCAAGAGCTCTCTGTGGACATCAGTGGATAATTCTCTGCAGTTCCTTTGTGGGCAAGCTATTTTAATAGGCAAGAGGTGAAGTGCCTGAAAGAAACATTGGTCAGCTGTAAGAGCTCACGAGAGGACGGGTCTGGAGGCCAGGCAGCGGACCCACAGAGTTAGTTCTCCACAGATATTCAGAGATACAGACACTAGTCCTGCAAGGTCAGCTGGTACCCGATGATGCTGTCAGCTGTTCAACCACATTTTTTTTTTTAATAGAAAGGGGCTTCAGACATCCCATCGAAATATTTAGTGGGAATAACAACATAGGGACATGGAATGTTTTTGCAATTGTTAATTCCTGCTTTGATCAATTCAGTCTGCTGAAGAATGGTCAACATGGAATGGCTGTATTTTGTGAGTACAGTCCCTCTTGAAGCATTACCAGATAGCCATCATTATATATAACATTTTCTCTGCTTGGACAAAAAGAAGATCTATTTTAGAGCAATAATACAAGTGAATACTGACCCACATTTTAACCCTCCACAGGAATGCCTTTGATACTTGGATTAAATAAATACCTCACATTCTAGCTGACCTTCCTGTAGGGAAAAGCATTGCCTTTCAAGATCAGCATTGCTCAATGTCTGTCACTTAGCAGGACGTCATTGCTATTGCGCTACACCCCGTTCTTTGAAGTGCATCCCCATCTCAGAAAACTTGAATTCTTAGAGGTCACTTCCAAGGAAGCCCTTCAAAAGAACCCTGTCCAGGGGGAAGCGCTTGTTGAGCCTCCAGATGAAAGGGACCCGCGGCCTGAGCATGTCCACACTGTGTGTGGCGTGTGTCACACGTTTTCCTTTCCACAGCAAACAGGTGTTTGAAGGGAGCCCGGATGTGGGGACGGCCCTGGAGGGGAGCCCAGGCGCCACCCCGGGTCAGACGTTGCTCTGCTGTAACAGAAGGCTCCTGAGCTCGCGGTCCCTCTGATCCTCCTGCCTGTACTTCTCCTCGAGCTTCTGCTTCTCGGCGTCTGCACAGTAGAAGGTGCAGTCTGGGCTCTTCCGGATCTGCTCGAACTGACTGAAGTCGGCCACGTACTTTCCGTTTTTGGAGAGAGAGACCACAGGCACAAACTCGAAACCCCAGTGGATCTCCTCCGGGATGTAAGACGTTCTGCTCTGGCAGACGGCGCTGGTGGATTCCACAGTGGCGTTGAGGAGCACCACCAGCTCGAATTCCTTCTCCTTTAGGTTTTGGGGAGTCAGGTCCCTGAGGGGGCTGGTCTCATCCAGCACGTGGTAGAAGGTCATGGGCAGAATGAGGAAGGGGCTCTCGGAGGAGGAGTCCACGTGGAATTTGACGGTGGCTTGGTTGAGGAGGATCCGCTCCCCCTCCTTGGTGACGTGGGTCTGGAGGAGCTTGCCCGAGAGCTGGCACTGGATGAGCAGGCTCTTCCTCATGTTGGCCACCTGGATCACCAGGCACAGCTTCCCGTTCTGCTTGGTGATGACCGCGCAGTGGCTGAACTTGATGGTCTCGGCCCGCTTTTTGGGTCTGGCGATCTTGGCCAGGAAGGTGCCCGTGATGAAGATCTCGATCAAGGTCGTAATGACCAGTTGGGCCACCAACAGGAAAATGGCGTGCGGGCATTCCTCTGTGATGGAGCGGACTCCGTAGCCGATGGTGGTCTGGGACTCGAGGGAAAAGAGGAAGGCCCCCGTGAGGGAGTCCACCTTCATGATGCAGGGGGTGTGGTTGGAGACGGACTCCCTGGACTCTAGGTCCCCGTGAAGGAACGCGATGGCGTAGTAGACCACTCCGAACAGGAACCAGGTCATCACAAAAGTGGCAGCAAACAGGGTGAGCTTGTACCTCCACTTCATGTCGATGACGGTGGTCCACAGGTCCTGCAGGTACAGCAGGTAGATGCCGTCCACCTTGTCGATCCTCACGTTGCTGTGTCCGCTCTTGGACATGACCCGGGGTCTGCTGGCCTTGAGTCCCGCCCCGGCAGTGTGCTTCACCAGGGGGGCACCGGACATGCTGATGTGAATGGCGTCCATCGCCCAGCTCTTGAGACCACCTACGGAAATGACAAAGGAAGATGTCACAGTGATGTGTCATGGAACTTCTCAGAGAATAAGGTCAAGAAGAAAGTCTGTATATGTTCAATGCAGTCCTGAATATTTTTTTTTTTTAACCAACATGTTCTGTCTGTGGTTAGTTGAATCTCTGGATGCAGACCTGTGGACTGAATTTCAGACCCATGGAAGGGGAGACTTGTGAAGGAGACCAGTGGGTGTGGACTGGAGGTTGCCAGGAGGGCAGAGCAGGGAACCTAGGCTCCGAGAACAGCAAAGGTGGGTAAAACGCGGACTCTGCAATTCATCAGCTGTGTGACCCACAAGATACTTAAACTCTCTGGACCTCAGCTCTTTAATCTTTATAGTGGGAATCAATCCCGCTCTTCAGGGTGTCTGTGAGGATTAAATGAGATGGAGAGCTGCGATCACACACTGTTCTGCACGCATCTCAGGGAACACTACGAACATTACCATCAGCTATCATGATTTCTATTCTAGAAAATCAGATATTTTCCAAGCAGCCAAAAGCTGCCACCATAGAGAGTTTTTGACAGAGTAATGGAGAATATTGGTGCAAGTTTTTACAACTCAAACAATATCAATAAAATTTTTAAAATTTTTCTGTGCTTGTTCTAATTAGTTATGCATGACATTAGAATGCATTTTGACACATCATACATAAACAGAGTACAATTTCTCAATCTTCTGGTTGGACATGATGTAGAATCACACTGGTCATGTAATCATACATGATTCCTTCTATTTTCCTTCCTATACCAATACCTCCTCCCCTCCCTCACTCCTCTCTGCCTAATCCAAAGTACCTTATTCTTCCCTAGCACCACCACCCCAACCTTATTGTGAGATAGAATCTGCATATCAGAGAAAAGATCTGGCCTTTGTCTTTTTTAAGATTTATCTCACCCTAGTCAGAATGGAAATTATGAAGACAAGCAACAAGAAATGTTGGCAATGATATAGAGGGAAAAAGCACACTCATACACTGCTGTGTAACCATTACAGAAAGTAATGTGGAGATTCCTCAGAAAACTTGGAATGGAACCACCATTTGACCCAGCTATCCCACTCCTTGGTTTATACCCCAAAGAACTTAAAATCAGCATACTACAGTGACATAGCCACATCAACGTTTATAGCAGCCCAGTTTACAATAGCCAAACTATGGAACCAACCGAGATGGAATGGGTAAAGAACATATGGTATATGTACACAATGGAATATTACTCAGCCTTAAAGAAGAATAAAATTATTCACTGGCATTCGCCAAGGAATGGATGGAGACGGAGAATATCATGCTAAGCAAAACAGATTTCTCACCTACCATATGCCCCATATTCTTTGTTACAATTTTCCTCCCTGACTCAATGAAAAGTGTGAATCTATGACCTCTTTTAGTTCTTGATGACACTGGAAAAAAATTCAATTATCAAACAATCAAAAATATAGTTACAGCAAATTCTGCAGTAGGACCAAAAAGAGAAATTTATTTAAAAGAGCACTTGAAAAAGTAGGTAAGTGTGGGCATCTAACATGGGATCAGAATCACCTACCTGGAAGCTGCACGGGCTCTCCAGCTGGCCCCAGGGACGCCTGCTCTGTGCTAACAGCTGGGAGCCAGCTGGCTGGGCACTGGCTCCTTTAGTACCTCCCCGGCGACTGAGATGAATTGCCCTGACATTCCTTGAAAAGGTTAACATGTGACTACAGGACAACTTCACCTGGTCACCAGGGTTTTTTCCACCTCACCAGTATTTTAAGAATTAGAAAAAAAAAAATTTCCTCTTTAGAAAGGAACTGATATAGAGTGGTTCATGATTCATGCGGTGACCTTTTCTGTTAGAGGGGCATGGTCCCAAGAAAAGTCTTAGAAGTAATCCTCCAGGAAAAGCCCTTCAAGGAAATGGAAAGGGTGTCCACCTGAGCCCACACCCACACCTGCTCAGGATGCCGTGGGCCAGCTGGGCATTTCAATTTCCTGCTACTTTATGAGGGGTACATCATTTACTTAATGTCCCCTTGAAGTGACTTTCTTTTCCTGGAAAGCCCCTTGTCAGTTCCACCGCAGAGAGGGGCTGTCAGTTATGCAGAATCCCCTTGACGGGTTGACGCCTGTCCCACCGTCTTGGGATCCAGGTAGCAGGGAAGCCCAGGAGGTGGGCGGTGAGCACAGGCCTTCCCTGTCCTGTGCCGGGACCCACTTGCTGGCGTAAGGAGGGGAAGCGAGGCCAGCAGAGCTTTGCAGAGGGTGCACCCTGCCCAGGCGCCCAGATGCAGAGGCCAGCTCGCAGCATGAGCTCTGCCAAAGGCCAGCACGGCCCACACCAAGTAACGGCAGGCACTTCAACCGAGAAAGAAGGAAACGGCTGTGAAGTGGCTGCCTCAACCCAGGGAGGTAAAGACAGAGGCTTAAGTTCTCAATGTGAGTGTCCACCCGTGTCCTGTGGCCACAAGTGACCTCCCAGCGCAGCCTGCTGCCGGCTTCTGGGAAACCTGGCCTTGTTTCTGGAAGGTCGGGCCCCGGGGCTCTGCCCCAACCTCTCCTCCGCAGGGACAGCCGCCAGGCTTGGGATGGCTTCCTGTTCCTCTGCGGGGAGCCCTGGGGCTGTGGGCCCGCACACCTGGCACTGCGGTGGGTGGCCTCCCCAGTGCCTCCCCTGGGGGTAGATGGACATAAATCACAGGACAAGACCTGTGGCCTGTGCGGGGACCAGGTCCCCAATCTCTCTGTGGAAGACAGAGCAGCTGCTGGACATCGGTTGGGGGACCTGCCACCACCACTGTCCCTCTCCCTCCCCTGAGTGCCCTCTGCCCTCAGACCGTCTGCTAGCTGGTCACTCACTTGGCAGGTCACAGGGAGTCTTCTTCAGGGCAGGTGACACGTCCTCGGTCCCCTTCACCCACCTGGCTACCATGGGACTCTGCTCCTGCCTGAAAGAAAGAGGGACACGTGGTGTTCACAGGTGGCTGCTCAGAGCACCCAGCCAAGCTGGCCCCCGACGGTTCCCGAGGGCCACAGCCCTGGCATTTACCTTCCGCTCCCTGGACATCTGGCCCGGTGCCCAGACTAGGGCAAAGGCTCAAGGAAAGTTTGAAGAATGAAACCGAAGCCACCCCCACAGCCCTCCTGCAGGATCCCCAGCGCCTGGAGAGAGCTCGCTGCCAAACACGCCGGACGGACAGGGTTAACCCACCCAGGGAGGCCCCCGGCGCTGACCTGCGCTCAGGGAGGCAGGAAGCGGAAGTGCAGAGGAAGTCAACAGGGAGCACTGGAAGGAAGAGTCCAGAATAGTTTACCGCCTGTGGAAACGCATCGCGGCCGTTGAGTCATAGAGCGTCCAGTGGAGAGCGGTCACAGCGGTCCCCTCCGACACACACCGCTCGGAGGAGGAGATCGCGGCCTGGCAGCTGGGTGCAGGGGGAGGAAGGAGGTCCGGAGGCTTTGGAGCTCAGCCAGCCTTCTCGTTAGTACAAAATCCTCCCCGCACTTCAGATAACCGCTCTAAATCCAAGAGGCTGTTTTGCAGCCTACTTATTCCTCTATCTATGCATCTATCTGTCATGGCTCTACTTACCTATCTATTTCTATTTTTATTACATACCAATCATCAATCTGTTATCTGTCCATCTGTCATCCATCTAGCTATCATCTTTTTATCTTTTTATCCTTCATCTTTAATCTTTCTTTTTTAACTTTTATTAATTTTCTTATTTATATATGACCCTGGAATGCATTACAATTCTCATCACACACATAGAGCACAGTTTTTCATATCTCTGGTTGTTCACAAAGTGTATTCACACCAACTCATGTCTCCATACCTGGACTTTGGATATTCATGTCCATCACGTTCCACCATCATCTGTAGTCTCTCAAACCACCGTTTTCCACCTGTGTCTCAGGCGCCTTCCTACCTGTCATCTGTTGCCTGTCATCTGTCTGTCTACGCCCACAACTTTCACCTGTCTCACACACGCACACAGCTCATGCTTATTTCTG